CGAGAAGAAAGGGTGGAAAGAGCCCGCAGGATTTCCAAAGCAAACCCGCAGGTTAAAGCTTTTCCAAAAATAACATTTCATTCAACTAACTTCAAACATTACAAATCCTCCATATATATAGGTATGAAAGGGAATACAAAGAGACACTAACATTAAATTTAACACAAGAAACTAAGCATCAAAAGCATTAAACCCAAATGCTTTTCACGCAAAAACAGCCCAAGCCAAGAAACCGAAGAGGTAGCCGCGGGAGCCAAGGAGGCCGAGCAGGAACCAAGGGGCCACGGCCTTGGGAAAGAGCCCAGGCACGGGAAAACTAGCGGCCAGCCGGAATTCCAAGAGGCAAAGCACAAAAAACAATAAGCCATGGAGGAAACCAAGGAGTCACCTCATGGGAAAAGCAAATTCTTGGAATTCCAAAGGCCGGTTTGGAATTCCAAGAGCCAAACATGAATACAAACATAAAAAACATAAAAAGTAAGATAATAAATGAATTAAAATGTTAGCTAATGAGCTAACCGTTAGTTCAATAAATGAATTAAAGTCCAGCTCATAAATGAGCTAAAATTTCAGCTCAAATAGTAGACTCAAGGGAAACCAAAAATCTAATTATTTTTGACATGAGTTGACCCCCCCTTTGTCTACATCAAATGAAAATTAGGGTATTTTGTTGGGAGCAAGCCAGGTAGAGTGATCAATTGAGAGGAAAGGAAAATTAAGCCCTCTTTTTTTGCTTTATTGAAACCATATCCCAACAAACTGAGCTTATTCCTTTTTCAAGCTAGTCTACATCTTGCCTCCATTAAAAAAAAAAAGATGGCCAAATTGATTCAGAAGTCTTTAGGTCCTCCACATGAATTATAGATTGTCATTAGATGATTAATGAGCAGGCCATACTTGAAAAGATCTAGGTGGGTTTTGGAAATGATTTTGGACCTATAGATAGGCATTGCTTTGCCTGGTTGAAAAATAAATTTGTGTATGAAGTATATTATATTTAGATGAAAACGTATGATTAATTGTGGACATTTTCAACATGCAAATTTAAAAATATTCATTCTAAGAATAGCATGAGTGTCAGATGGGTTTCATTTATGGTGAAAGTTTTTGGGCCTCCATTGACCTAGGCCAGTCCAGTCCAGTGATGAGATTTAACATGCTTAATGTTAAATTCAGAGAATTAGAGAGGGAAAAGACTTAATTTTATCATGCAAAACTATTCCTATTTATAGATCTATATAAGATATCTTAATAAGGAAATAAATAATTATAGAATTATGCATAATTGCCCCAATATAATCATTCCTAAATCAGCCACCTAAATATAGAAGGAGATCGGCGTGATCCAGGTGAGCCTTCCACGGATCCCCATGCTGGTCGTGGGCCAAGGGACGACTGGATTTAACAACATGATTAAGGTGAGCCTCCCATGGTTCCCCATGCTATCCGTGGGATTAAGGGCTACGGGATAGTTGGGATTTTAACACTCCTCAAGCTGGTATTCTCAGCTTGGTAATTATTACCATAAAAGTAGAGTTATCTGGTCCCTTGGTGCACCATGGAGTCATTCATTTGGTCAAAGCTTTGGGAGAAATTAGATTTAGACATTGCGGTGGCAAATTGTAGCAATAAATGCTATGTTAAGCATGGCAGCAATGAAGGTTGCATTGGTTATATATATATATATATATATATATATATATGATAACAACCACAAGGGCCATCAGAATCTATACAAGATATCTTAATATGGAAACAAATAGTTTTAGAATCATGCATAATTTACCTAATATAATTTTCTAAATCAGCAACCCAAATATAGAAGGAGATCAACATGATCTAGGTGAGCTTCCCGCAGATCCGCATGCTGGCCGTGGGCCAAAGGACAACTGAGATTTAACAACATGATCTAGGTGAGCCTCCCACGAATCCCTATGCTGTCTGTGGGATCAAGGGCTACGGGACGGTTGTTGAGATTTTAACACTTAATAATGTAGAAAGCACACTAGTTTATTAATCTTTGAAATTGCTTTTATGACGTTTCTGTTTATTCCCTTTATGTTTCATAATGTCAGGTATTCCCTGACAAACCAGAAAAGCGCCGGGCTTCTCAGTTGTTCAAAGCGGCACTAGATACGGTATGCAGTTAGTTTCGTTGTCTAATGCACACTTTTTTGTTTCTGTTTAGTACAAGTTAATTTTGATTTTTTTCCAATAATTTTAGTGGCCATTGCTTTTTTTATTCATCCATACTTGCGATTGTAAGGCACTTTCTAATTCCTTAATAGACATTGTATTCTTCGATATAATGGTGTATCACGTAGTTCGTTGGATGATGTGCATTTTCGTTGTCTAATGCACACTGCTTTGTTTCCTTTTTAGTACAGGTTAATTATGAATTTTTCCATAATTTTAGCGGCCATTGTTTTTTTATTCATCCTTGCGATTGTATGGCACTTTCTAATTCAACATTGTATTCTTCTAGATTAATGGTGTATCACTTAGTTCGTTGGATGATGTGCCAAGCGGGCCTGTGACAAGCTTCTTCAAGTCCATAAGAAACACACTGGATTTTGATTTTGCAGATTATAATGAAGGTTAGTCCCTTTGAGTATACACGTGTTTACTTATAAAAGTATTTTAACAGAATTTCTGAGTTATAAGTTTAATATTTCATGTAAATTCTTTCTAGATTAAGCCCTTTTCTTGGGAGGCTTTTGGCCTGACAAGTTAATTTATTGACAATATTTTTCACTGGTTAATAGCGTGCTCCATTTTTTACTTGAAGGAAATGCAGTAAATGCTATCTTCTTTTTTACAGCATTCTTGTCAAGATTATTAGATTTAGTAAGCCTTTTAGAACCATCATTTTGAGAAAACAATATTCATGTCTTATTTAGTAAGACATTTGTTTAAATAAGAGAAAATTAAAAAAAAATGGATAAAATATTTATTTGACAGAGTTTAGGATTAATTGTGCAAAGAATAAGTATGTGATATGTATTTTTAGCATATGTGGTATTATTAATTATCGGCTAATATTTTTTAAGATAAAATTATTATTATGTGGGTATGCTTAATTATTTTGAATCCATTATATAGAAGAATGGGGAAAAAAGAATATGCAAATTCTAAAATTAAGATTTTAGTGATTATAATAGAGAAATGTCTCGTTTATATTATGATAATTTAATATTTTGGAGGCTCGCATGTAAATTTATAAAATTGTAACTAGGTTGGTTGGTTTGTATGGGCCCAAGTGTTGAAAATAATACATGGAAAGCCAAGTTGAGCACCAAAGAAATGAAACTTTTAAGATGAATGAGGGGCGAAATAAAAGAATGATAGTCTAAGAAATGATTATGGTAGAGGAATTGTGGAAGTAAAATTATTGTAAATAAGGTAACAGAATGCACATAAAGGTGCTTTGAGCGTATAAAGTGAAAGGTAAAGGCACATCAATAAATTGGGTGGACAGAATGACAAAATGAATAATGAAGGATTAAGATGAAAAATGGGTATAGAATGGGTAACATGGATACAGCTTGTGCACAAAGATTTGGCTGGTTTAGCACCTCTTACAACATTCAAAAAGAATGAATGAAGAATAAAGGTTCTTAAAGTTGACCCATAATAGTGGGAAAAGGCTAATTTGATGATGATGAATGCCGTCATTTTTTAGAAATAAATCTTATGCTTGTATGAATGGCATTGTAAATCCCTTGCTCATTGAACTTTATTTATTTTACGGATCTCATTTATGGTCTATATGGGAAGTTTTTCTAGCTGAAAAATTAAAATTATATTAACTCAGAATTTCTTTAAGAAAATGATTCAAATCTTTGTAATTTAACTTGCATGTGTAAAATTGGTTTAAATCATCATCCTTCCAAGTTTGAGGAAGGTTGGTACCTTCACTCATGTGTAAACGATATGCGCCAAGTTTAACTGTCTCCATAATATATAACCCTTCCAATCAGGTGTTAGCTTTGCAACTCCTTTAGATTTCTTTTTGGATTTTTTTTCCTCAAAAGTAAATCCCATGGCAAGAAAGACTTTGCCAGCATTATGATAGGAATTACTTAGTTCACAAGTAATTCTAATCCAAACCAATAAATTTACAGCAGCAAACTGCTGTCCGCAGCAGAGAAAACAGCAGGAAAACAGGGAAATCTGAGAGAAAACGCAAGAAACGACTTGTATTTCACTAGCAATGAAAGCAAAACAAAGAAAGATACAACGTTCTTCGATTTGAGAGGAAGAACAACTCTCCACAAGTCTCTAGCAAACCCTAGAGCCCAAGAACACCAAGAGATCTCAAACTTCTCCTTCAAATTCAAGATGATCCTAATTTTCCCCCCAATCTCCTAATTAAACAAAAATAATCATAAAGGACAATAATGGATTTCCTAAAACAGCCCCCTCATTCAAATTTCTCCCTCCCAAATCAAAATTAATCCCACGTGGGGTCCACAGGAAGCTTCGCCTCTTGCTGCCGTTTCCGCCCAGCCCTTCTCGCGTAGCAGTGGACCGGTCTCTGTTGGACCGGTCCAACCGGCCCATCCTGGGCCGGTCTAACATTACTCCCCTCCCAAAAACTCACCTTGTCCTCAAGGTGAAAGGAGGGGAATTGCTCTTTCACTCTTTCAAACGGCTCCCAAGTCGCGTCGAACTCAGGGAGGTCCTTCCATTGAATCAACACTTCCTTGTTGCCTTCTTGATCTGATCTTACCCCCATAAGCTCGAGGGGCTCCAATATCACTTCCCAATCCTCTGTCATTGTTGCTGGTAATGCGGCACTAATTGCGTGCTCCCCGAGGGGGGTCCACAGGAAGCTCCCCCTTCTCGCGTAGCAGTGGACCAATCTCTGTTGGACCGGTCCAACCGGCCCAGGATGGGCCGGTCTAACACATTATTGTTGTGCTGCCCGTCTTATCATTGTGCTAACAAGACTTCTTCTGATGAATCTGATTTGTTAGCGGCTCTGATCATTTTCAAATTTCTACTATATCCATCCTCATCCACTCATTAGTGAATTTTGCTGTTGTTTCTTCTTAGGCAATGCATTAATTGTATTAGTCTAAAACCATAGCTTCCATGTCTGAAGTGAGGGCAAAGGGTTTCCCCTATAATTTTTGAAGCAGTAATGTAAGAACCTAGGTTTCATATATGCATTTTCCTTTGTTTCCTTCCAGGATTTCTTGAGGATTTATAAAATTGATTTATTGGCTTCCTCAAATATCTTTTTTTCTGTGGATATTAAGCTTCCATTGGTCTTTAGATGACTTACTAAAGCATTCTTGGGTCCGATGCTTATTCGTCATTGGCAATCTTCATCTTTTCATCTGCCAGTGAAGATCTAGTGGTGAAAGCTACGATCAATGGTTGCCCAAATCTACATATTATAGTAGTCTAGAGGAAATTTACCATAGTTGCAGTCTTTACTTTGACTAGTGTGTTGTCCTTTTGAAATGGCTAGCTAGTGCAAGTAGGAACCTCTTTGGCCTAATGAAGAGACCCACAAAATTTATTCCCTAGATACAAAATAGATTTAAACTATGAGATAGAAAAGTTCTTTCTTTATTATGCAACTTCTTTGGTCTAATGGAGGGCCACTCATTTAGGTTGGAATTTATCTAGTAGAATTGCTAGGAAGATTATCTTTACTATGCTAAACCTTGCTATTCTGCAACCAAAGATTAGTTGTCATTTGCTTTACCACCAATAATTATAATGACTTATTGAACTCTTGACAACCATACTTGCATGCCATGAATTAGATGGCCGATTTTTCTTTCTAATTGATCTTGTGAGTAAGACGTATTTTAATGCTTTTCTAAATTCAGTTAGTACATGCTTCATATATTCTCAAAAATAAAAGTTAATATAGATCTTCATATCTTGTTAACTTTTTTGTTTATTTCTTTAACTTTATTCTATTTATGTTTATTAGATCTTTGGAAGTCAAATGAGCCGCCCTCCTTGTTTGTATTTATCAACTGTAGCACTAGAGATCTTTCTCTTATTGAGAAGTATGTGGTACGTAGCAACATTTTAAACTCAGAGATCCTAATCACGTAATTTATGGCATTTTAAGAGAAAAATTCTTCTTTTTTGGATTCCAGTGAAATATCACTTGGAGGAATAGATAATTATGTAAATATGTGGATCTGAAAAGCATGATTTAAATTTACTTGTTACATTGTTTTGTCCCCTGCCAACTTGTCATCTTTGATCTCCATGGCACCAAGTTTTAATCCTTTTTCTATAGCAGAAGTTTGCCTCAACATCAAAGGACATGGTACAAATGATGGCTTAGATTGAAGTCTGTTGGGTGATAAAGCGGAGTGGTCTCAAATCAATTTAATTGTTGTTGTTACTAGTTAAAATTATTCTGAGGTAGCTTTCAGTTTATTTCTGGAATCAATTTTGAAGCAAATGTTGGAGTGTCTTATGCAATTTATGATGTCTTTCTATGAAAATTAGGAAAATTATTAGGTTTGACTACTACAAAGAGGGTTATTGATGTGGAACATATAACGAAATTGTAGGATTTTATTAAGAAATTTGTTTTAGCAATGAATTTATAAGATTAATATTTCACTAAGTTAGGATTTTCAGTTTTCGTAGTTATTGATTTGCTTCTAGTATGCGGTTACACGATAGATTAACAGAACGATTCAAGACAATAACAAGACGATAGCAAGACAAATATGCAATTAACAATAATCCGGCACTTAATAAATAGAACCTTCGAGTTTCCCTCTCGATCACTCTTTTGAAGTAGGGTTAGCGGAGGATGAAGGTTAGCAAGCCTAGTGATGCTACTGAAAGACGGAGGATGCTGGCGGTTTTGATCAACGGAGAGTTGGTCGGAGTTGGAGAGACGGGTGGTCGTCCTGCGATCTTTCACGATCCTGTAGGTTGTTGCTCTTCGATGATGTCCGCCAAAGTAAAGAGAATACGTTCCACGTATTCTTCGACGGTGCCTTCAGATCCAAATCCGGGATCGAAGAAAGGTGATTGAATGATGTCGATTTCCTCTTGAAAATTGTAAATGAATCTATGATTAACTTCCGAATCCGCCATACATGGACATGGGAGGACTCTTTGTTGTGTGCCTTGGAGGGGGAGGACTGGCGCTTGGTGGTCGGGAGAGAAGGAGGGACGGCGGTTTGGGGCTAGGCAGGATGAGGGAGGGGACGGCTAGGGTTAGTGAAGGGGGTTTGAGGTTTTAATTTTTTCCTTTTGGAATTAATTATCCAAATAGGGTAATTAATTAAAGGAAATAATGGGGTGGAGGGAAGAACTAGATTTCAAAATTTTGGAGGCCAAAGAGGGGCCGGCGGCATGCATGGAGAAAGGAGGTTATTTGGAGATATTTAGGAAGGGATTAGGGAGCTTTAATGGAGGCTTTGAATTAATTAGGAGAGAGAGGGGATCCAGGAGAGGTGGCCGGCCATATAGGGCTAGGAGAGAGTTTAATTTCATTAAACATGCGGTCCCCAAGGGAGGAAATAAAAATTTGACACAAATCTGAATTTAATTTCAGATTTGTTCAAATTAGGGAGGTTTCCTAATTTAAATTATAGCCTTAGGAAAGAATTTGAATTCAATTGCTTAATTGAATTTCAATTAGAAGCTTTCCTAATTAGCTAAAACCCATTTTAGGAAAGTGATTAATGGGCATTTGAATTTTAAAATTGGGAATCAATTGGAGGGGCCGACTGTTTGGACTTGTGGAGAGGGGCGGATGGGTTGGGGAGGCCGACGGCTGGTGGCCGGCGGGTGGATTGGGGCCGGCGGCTTGGGCGGCCAAGCGGGGGAGGGTGGCCGTCGGGTTGGGTAGGGTCGACTCTAGGAGGGGAAAATGGGGAGGGGTTTGGGGAGGCCGGCCGGTGGTGGAATGAAATTGGTGTGAAGGTAAAAGAGAAAGAAGAAATCGAAGAATCGCGAACCTAGGAATCCACCAAGTTTGACAGGTATTGCTCTCACCCTCACCTAGGGTTCCTCCTCTCAAGAACTCACAAAGAGATCTAGCAAGAAATTGTAATTTTCATTCATAATCATCATGAGAAAAAATACGACGACTAGGCCTTCATATATAGGCCTCCAAAGCACAATGTAAAAGGCACAAATGCCCTCATGCTACAAGTGAAAAACTGAAAAATAATTAAAAGAAATGCATTAAAACATCATAAAAGAAACTATGAATCGCAGCCGTCGATCTACTATTCCGCCGATGATAAGTATGTCGAAATCTCCTATGGATGTCCTCATCAGTTATCTAAGGCTTAAGGCTTCCCACCAATTCAGAGTTGAAGAAGGGTTGATTTAGGCGATCTTGTCTGTGTATTATTGAGAGGTTGTTTCTATGATTCAAATGTATGACCTCCCATCACAACAATGGAACTGAATCTTTTCCCCTGGCCCATACATTGAACAATCGTAGTAGACAGAAATATGTTTTAATTTTATAATAGTTTATTCTAATCATCGGTTCATATTTCTGCGTAGAAAGTTGGTTCACAAAAATAAAATAACATGTTAAATAGTTTTCATTTACTGATGCGTGGCTATGTAACCAATCATTAAGCATCTTGCCATCCAATCAACTAATATAAGCGCTGCTTGATGCATGATGCGTGGCATCAATTTCTAATCCAAGATATAAATATACAGTCGAAACCTTGACATGTTAGATGGTGAAAACGATTATTAGTTATTATTTAAATTTTAAGGATTTCTAGGTAATGTTTGCAAAGTTTATATTTAACATGTAATGCGGGTCAGTTATAGAAAATAAAAGTACAATCAATTAAAGATGCAGATTAAGAATACTGAAGACTTGAAAACGATAAACTTTAAATTACAAGAATTACGAGAGATAGGTGTTACGCCGGCCCAGGAGGGGCCGACTGGACCGGTCCAGGAGGGACCGGTCCGGGTCTATTCCAGGCGACGGAATAGACCCAGCGGAAGCCAGAGATGGGGCGGAAACTTTGTGGAGCCCATTATGGGCTCAATGCAAGATTAGGAGGGAAATATTTTGAACTAAGGGGTGTTTAGGTAATTTGTAATATTCCTTTGTCTTTAATTAGGTGTTTTGGGAGGGATTTAGATTATCTTGAATTTGAATCTTTTTTTGAGATCTAGGGTTTGTGTTCTTGGGCTCTAGGCTACGGCTAGAGATTTGGAGAGTTTTTCCTTCCTCTCGAATTGAAGGAAAGTTGTATCTTGCAAGTGCTATTCATCACTTATTAAATAAAAGTGTTTGCTTTGTTTCTCTTACGTTTTCTCCTTCGTTTTTCTCTCCGAATCCACTGTTTTTGGCTGTTTTCCTGTGTGGACAGCAGTTTTCGTCCTAGATCTACTTGGTTCTTGGTGTGAAACACTTGGAAATCCAAGTGTTTCCTATCAATAGGGTCATCCACTCATTGTAGTTCTTTGATCCCATTGTTTGATTTAGATAACCAAATTTGGTGGCTCCGACAACTACTGATCACTTCTCCATATTGTGAACAAATCAAGTAGAATAATTAGAAAGTAAGGTGATGGAAAAAATAAAGTGAAAGAAAAGAACGAGTCAGGTAGGTGTACGGTGTACCCACACACAGTTTTCTTCAAACTTCACACTTGACAGAATTTTACATCGAAGAAATTTCTTCGGAAAAAAAGACTAGATTTACAAAAGTTATAGCATAAAGAATAAGAAGTCACTCATATGTTATGGCTAGAATTGCTAAGTGCTCCCTAAAGACAACTCCAAATAGCCGACACAATAAGTGGGCGTGAATCCTAAACTGATTGGAATGTTTAGTTCGTTGAGTGTCATGCATCATGGGTTGATGCCTTATCCACTTTGGAGTGGACGATATAATGACCGCCCAATTTATTTGGATGCTTAAAAACAATGGCTTTAATTGTTGGTCCTAATGGATGATTTATTATTTCTCAGTGAAAGTGTGGTTTGGTAGAGACAGGCATGGGTAGAAGGGGGGCGAGAGGGCGGAAGGGGTGGGAGAGGGAGGGAGAGCTAACTTTTATGGTTTGGAGTGTGGAAAAGTTAGGATTTTAGCACCACATACTAAAGAAAGAATTTCAACTCAAAATGATAAAACATCCTGGTGCCCCTTGCTTTTATTAATTCCATAGCCTTCCTTGAATTAAATAAGGACACCTACTTAATGTAGTTTGACATGAGTGTACCCTAACCCCAATGGCATATTTAGCCCTACTTTAGCCTAGATCAAATGGTATAGTTAAGACAAAATAGTGTATTTATACATAGTGTATGTTGATGTACAACCAAAAGTAATTTAGTTGACTCATAAGGGTTGCCAATCCAATGTCGCTTGTATAGACATCTTTTTGGTGCAGTGCTTTTTATACATGCTTGTAGACGGCCCTTGAGTTTTTATGGCTCAATTCTATGATATCACAACTCCCAATTCTACTGGATCACAACTCCCTCAATGAAGTTTAATATGCTTTTAGAATTTATGTTGTAGTGAGAAAATCCCTCCTTGAAAATCCCTGCCCCATAACTGATTAAGAGTATTTTTATGGCTTAATTCTACTGGATCACAACTCCCAATTCTACTGGATCACAACTCCCTCAATGAAGTTTAATATGCTTTTAGAATTTATGTTGTAGTGAGAAAATCCCTCCTTGAAAATCCCTGCCCCATAACTGATTAAGAGTACGACTTTGTACTGCTAGCAATCCAACTAGCCATTCTTCATGGCACCAATTGCTTCTTTGTTGTAAAAAGTATTGTTTGTTGACAACCTGCTCTTATGACCTACCTAACTTCCTTACTTCCATCTTCTGCTTGTTGTTTACCATGGAAAAAGTGGGTGTAGTGGCTTGGGTCTAGTAGCCACAGATAGTAGAAAAAAGGCAGTAAATACACATTTATTTTATGATTCAATCACATTTAATTTCATTCACTCGTCCCTTTCATTATTTGCCCGTCAAAAGGCTGAGTGAATCAATGAACTAAATATATACGTATAAATACCTTCATAGATGTCTTAACAAGTTATGTCTAGGTCATGATGAAGGTGTTCACCAACAAGAGAACGTTCAAGCAAGCAATTTGCCTTGAACTGGGCGAGTCCATGACGGTGTATCAGGCAGATCACTTACCACTCGCTGCTACCTTAGTCATCAGCTCTTAGTGCAGGACCATCTCCCCTCATCCGAGGTCAGTTATAGGAAGGCTCTCATCCCATGAGTATAACTTGTACCACTTATGCTCAGCACCGCATCGAACCCCAATTTTCTCAACACTCATACCTATTCTCCTGCGAAGATCCTTAGCTTAGTGTAAGATAATAAGGTCTAACCGGTCCGCCACTACAAAACTCATCCAACCCGACGCCAGCCCACAACACATCGGATCTCGCCCTCTATGCCATTTAGACATTACTACACTCGCCCGGAGATGAATCCTCCATCCCAGTTCTCCCATCCATTACAGGGTGACGTGTGTATAGCATTGTATAGTTTTGGATATGCAATCTGTGTAGAGTTGTATTTTTTATCTTTTCCAATGTAACCCTTTATGTAGCCCCTAAATCTTATAAGGGGTAATGAGCACTATTTAAAACATAAAAAATGATTTATCAATTCAAAAGAGGTCTCTTGGATTAGCAGGGAATTTTCTACTTGTCTGAGATCCTAATTCTTCTCTACTCTTCTTCTACACTCTTCATTCTTAGTCACATGTTGCTTTGCTCTTTAGATAAACTTGCTAGTAAGGTCACTATCTTTCACGAATTTGATGCATAAATTTTTTTTACTTCTTCCTTCTCCAAGTACTTTTTCATTCCCCATCAGCATTGATGCTACCTGTTGATACGTATAATTGGTACATGATTTAGCAACTAAATTTTTTCTTACTGTCAAAAAATTGAAGAAGCAACCAGCTTTCCTTTATCACAAGTACAGATACCATATCATGCAAGAAGATTTATTTAGGATTTTTTTCTTTGAAAATATGGCTTAGGCTTTGTAACAAAGGCTTGGTGCAGTACCATTTTCATCTCAAGTATCCCAATTAAGTGCATTTGAGTTCTGTTATAAGCATGCCCTTTGCTTTTGATTCATCCTCAATCCTTTTTTTTTTCTCGAATTTTAATTCTCAGGAGAGATATGCTGTGTCCATCCCAAGTATTCTTTTTAATTTGGAACTAGATACCTTGCGGTATGCAGCATATGATGTATTTTTTGGATTGAAGCATTAATCAAACGCATTGTCCCTGCTCAAATCTCCTGATTTGTTTGTTGCAGTTCTGACTTGGGTTTGTTGGGATTCCCAACAAAAGACCTGCATTACCGGTTTCTTTCTCAATTTTTACCAGTATTCTATATTCGAACGAGAGAATATTCTAAGGTACTTGTTTTATTTTGCTTGTCTGGATTGTCTTTTTATAGTATTTAATGTCTTTGTTTCTTTATATGAAGACTGTACCAGTTCCGCCCTTTGTGGTGAATTATGATGGAGCCTTATTTCGTCAGTATCCTGGTGAGTAAAATGCTTTTGAATTAAACATATTAAGTTTTCATAATTTGAGGTTTTTTTTATAGCCGTAATCCCTCTTGCTCTGCAGTAATAAGCTACTGGTAGGCAGTGATATTATTCAAATAATAAATAGTTTGTGATGATTGGCATGATAAATATACCTAGGCAGTATTGCTTATATTTTGATGTATTTGCCAGTTAATTATTCATCAATAGTTGCCAGCTAAACTTATGATTTGTATAAAGAATAGTATAGAAAGTAGTTGTGTGACTTGGATCCCATCTCCAAATAATTAATTTATGAACAAAGAGGCCATCTTAGTGAAGGCCAATTTTTCACTACATATTTATAACCGACCTAAAAAAATATATATATATCACCGACTTAGTAAAATAGTCCATTCTGCTTTTTTTTTGTGAGATGAAAAGGGCGAGGATAACTCTTGACCAAATGAATCTTGTATAGAAGTTTCAAAATTAAATTATGATGGCCAAGATTAAGGTGAGAAAGCAGGGGTTGAGGGACCTTGGATGGATGAAATAATGAGTTCTAGATTGCTCAAGTTCGATGCATTTTGAGTTTAGTGGAGCCCTATTTAATCATTTTGGTAAAGCCACTGAAATTGATTATTGTATTTTGCGTTGCGTATTACTATGCTCTAAATTCTTTGCAGGCTAAAATTTTTTGCTTCAAATCAAACCCAAACTTTAAATTCCAAAAATTAAATATTGCTTAAACATGAGATCACATAGAAAGAAGCATAATTTACATTACTATAAGTTGGTAGCTGTTCATTGGAGATTTCTTTCAACAATATAAATGATTAACAAATGGTGGTGATTAAAAGTAGTTCTTGATCCAATTAAAGGTAACAAAAATCAGAATGATAAGATAGATTTGGTGCTTATTTTTTAGACAAATTATAGAAAATTATAAAACAATGGCATGATCTTCACACAAGTGTTTTACTCCTAAAAATATGATCAAGTGTTATTGAAATTAATTTAGTGTGATTGAAGACAAAATGTGTGTTAAAGTTATTATGAAGTTTTTAACATTAGCTATTATGTAATACTTGTTAGAAGGTGTGGTGGTGGAGTGTCCAAAGAGTTCTCAATCACAATATAATTACATACATGCTTAATATTAAGTTTTATCTTCTTGTGTTTATAGATATGCTTACAACAGTATTCAGAAGCATCCTATAATGTGCTATATATTGAGGTGATACTAATGATAAGTGAGGCTTTGTTTTGAAGTAACAACAAAATTAGAAGTAGAATAAGGATTGAGAGCATGATTTATATTTTGTAGTGTATATAAAATTAATAATCAATTGGTGCAAAGATCAAATGCTATTTCAATGTAATATGTTCAACTGTCATGGATCTATTATGTAAAAGTTTGCGAAAGTAGATGAAGGCAAATTGTTTTTCAACTAAATTTGGTTAGTGAAAATTTAGAAATGTATTTTAAGAGTTATTAAATTCTAGCCGTACATTGGCATTTTGATCCCACGGCTAGGATGGGAATCCGTGGGAGACTCACCTGTTAAATCCCAGTTGTCTCTTGGCATTTTAATCCCACGGCTAGAATGAGAATCCGTGGAAGGCTCACCTGGATCACGCTGATCTCCTTCCATATTTAGTTGGCTAATTTAGGAAGGATTATATTAGAGCAATTATGCATGATTTTGTAATTATTTATTTCTTTATTAAGTTATCTTGTATAGATCTATAAATAGGGATAGTTTTGTGCAATAAAATTAAGCATTTTCCCTTTCCAATTCTCTGAATTTAACAACACTGATATGTGCTAAGAGAATATCATATAGATGTAAAATGAGATGAAATAAAATGTGGATTGAGTGCATAATTTGTGCTTATAGTGCATATGAATTAATAATCAATTGCCGCAAGATCAAGTGATATTTATGTGCCATAGGTTTAACTATGATGAATATATTAAATAAAAGGTGAAATTATATGAAGACATTTTCTTCATCTAAATTCGAATGATCAAAATGTAGAAATGTATTTTTAAAGTGATAATGTGCTAAGAGAATATCATATAGATGTAAGAGATATTTTTACCATAAAAGAAATAAACGAAGAAATAAACCAAAAGAGAACAAAGTTCTTGTATAATTCGCTAATCTAATTCTGTACAACTCTCACGAACATCTCCTACTTCCACGTTGTATCACTTGCTCTATTTTATTTATTTAATGAAAATCTCTTTTCTAAATTTCTCCAATATGTTTGTTCTTACATCTAAAATCTATGCCTTCCCACTTGCTCTTGCAGTTTCCAAACCCCACAAACTCACATGAATTTCAGTGTGCATCTTCCTTGATTCCTCATGCTTGAACTTGCTCTCTTTTCCTGCAATGCTTATTCTCTAACTTTCAGTCTCACTTGCCGTCTCAATCTTTGCTCCCTTGTCTTCTTTCTTGTTTCTCACCACCTATACTATTTTCATGCACTCTTTCCTCATGCCCTAGACGGCCAATGCTTCTCTCATCCCAAATGCACAATCCCACTCTAGCAACCACACTTTAATACTCCCTCTCTATATGGCAACGAGCTTGACCTCCTTGCGTTCAATGATTTTGACTTCCTCGTGTCAATGAGTTGAAAACCTTTAATCCATTTACTTTTTTGCCCAAACATGGGTATAATTTTTTTCCTTCGTCTCACTTGCAAAATATATATAGGGATCTTATAACATTTTAGAAAGTATATAAAACATTTTTGATTTCAAAACTTATCTAATGTCATGTTATAAATTATGCAATTTGAATGTTCTAGCAGGTAATTATGACTTAAAGTCGCAAGCTCCCGAAAAATCACACCTCGTCCTCTCTGCGTCCTTTTCTTTCGGCAAGGCAAGCTTTAACGAGGTTAAGTTCGGTGTAAATTTTCAGAAGGCAAATTGTATTTTTATATAAGACACTACTCAGAGATTTCGCCCTCATTTCGTGAGGACTTTATAATCTGGGTTATGGTTTCCTTATAGAAGGCATAATTATTCCTCCTGATAACGAGAAATTTTTTTAATTAAAACTGGTTGTTTGATAGGCACTAAGTACCCGGCGTATAGTAGCAGCAGCTTTATGATTTAAATTTTTAATTTTTAGGTTTTTAAATTCACCACTGTATACTTAAACCAGGTGATGGGAGAATGATGGCCTATCTGATTAAGATCTCATGGTTTTGTCGTCCGGGGCTATCGTAATCCCTAGTCTACTTAGTTGGAGGAAGTAGTCAACCCAACTTGACCAAAGGATTATTGTCGGCAGCCATACGTTGCTTCGTTAAAGGGGATCTTGTGGACTTGGGATGAATGTTTATTTAAGGGGACAAATCTAAGTCAATCTTAGCTAACAGAGGGCTTTGTGTCCTATCAAATATATCATATGATTCATTATTCAAGGGTTTAGAGCTATTGGGGAACATACGAGCTCACCCCTTTACCGTAATTTAGTAGTATCATTTGGCGGCAAAATCATATGGTCGGTGGGCCTTGATCATAATCATTTACATGTGATATTATTTGTCAACAAAATGCAGTCGCACAATCGATGGTATAATAGCCTTTCCCTGTTTGTCAAGATAGACAATCACGGATACTTAGTGTTTCTCACCTAATCGTGTTAAGAAAAGCATGCCAAAGGCTTTCTCGGCTCGTCGCGAGTGTTGCCTATGAGTTTTGTTCGCCGGTTAAGAAAAGCATGCACAGGTTCCTCTTTTTCATGCTCCATGCGTTACATTTTAGACTTTTGCAATTTATAGGAAAAAAATTAGTGCTGGTCCGGGTTATACCTCAAGGTGCGCGGTGGCAAGGATGGAGATGGCGACGACAGAGGTAATGGCGTGGCACAAAGCACAAGGTTTATATATATCCCTCTTTCTAGTGTTGAATAAGAGATGAATCGGGATTTCTTTCCTTCTAGAGAGAGGAGAAGCTAAAGGGAGGGGGAGACAGAGAGGGAGAGCTTAGGGAGGTGGCCTAGCGAGAGAAAATGAGTTTCTCTCTCTAATTTTGGAGAGCGAAATAATGTTCTCTCGCTAGTTCTAGATAGAGAAAGTTAGGGCTAGGGTTTTGATGGAGAAGGGGGTAGGAGTTTGTGGTTAAGGTTTTTTATGAAGGGGGTATAGATTTGAGGTGTAGAGAGGGAGGAATTTTTTTTTTTTTTAGGGTTAAGGTTTTTTAGGTTTTGAGGAAGAAGAAGATGATGAGGAAGAGGAAGTGAGGAAGAAGAAGATGATGAGGCAGAAGAAACGAAGAGAAATGGAGGAAGATGTGAGGAAGGAGAAGAAAAGAAGGGAAGCGGGAGAAGAAGGAGAAAAGGTGGTGGTGGTCGACTGGTTGGAGGGCGCGACGGCAGGAGATCGGTGGGGTGGGTTGGGCGGAGGCTGGGAGTAAAGGATTCGGTCCTGCCACCTACAATCGAGAGAACGGGTTCAAAGGCCCCGTTTTAGTGATTTAGGTTTTTGATCGACGCACATCGAGCGAGTTCCATGTGATGCTGTTCTCTTTGCTTTTAAAATTCGTCGTGTGCGGTCAACTTAATTTTGAAACTAGTAGTGAGATCAAGAAAAGCATGCATATAATGATGCATAAACTTTCATAATTACCAACATTTTGTAATAATGTATGTGTAAAAATCTACCCATTGAGAACATTCAAAATAGCTTTTTAAGACTTTTAGAGAGCTATCATGAACATAAAAAATACCTCATTTATTCAATAAGCATAAAAATTATTAAAAAAAAATCAACAAATAAAATTTCAACTTATAGTCGAAGTGTCCAGAATAAAATATGCTACAATATACAAAAAGTTATACGGTAGAAATGTCATAAAACCCAAGAAAAGTATGTTTTTGCCTATATCTTATTATTTATTTGGAATTGAAATCAGAGCAGGTGTTTAGAAATTTACCTCGCGCCTGACAAAACTCTTAACTGGCCTGATGGATGAATTCAGCTCCACGGCCTCTAAACCTCTGTCATTTGTTTCTCTCCTCCTCTCCCTTCTCTCTTCCTTCTTGACAAAGTGAGGGGGTTAGGGGGAGATTTAGGTGAAATGAGAAATGGATTTAGATATTTTATTTTAAAGACATCTTTTTTGACTTGGCACTGTATGGCAACGCTCCACAAAATATTTGAGATCCACCCAGATTCCTCTAACCCGAGAGTTAAGTGCCGTAGCGCCCATTCTGAGTGTTGCAACTCTCCTTCAAATCTTCTTCTCAACAGAGAAGACAATACTGCAGCCCACCGTTCCCAAGACTGCAATGCTCCAAAGAACATGTTGCCTCATGATTTTCTCTTCTCCACTTCAATTACTAAACTTATTTACAGTTGGTTAGACATTCTATAATTTATAATTAATAATTAAATCAGAATAAGTAAAGATTCATATCAAATTAGTTCAATTAGCCCGGCTCTGGGACAACAGCCATTACACCTGTGAGGTCTAAGGTGGGATCAAGGTTTGATCAAGTTATAGCAAAGAGGGGGTTTCAGTTTATTCAAGAGATCTCATACTATCTTTCATCAAGATTTTTGGATTAAAATGTTTATGAAATTTTCAAATTTCTACTTTTATTCATTTATCCTCTTCATGCTCAAGCTAAATGTACTTTATTCTTCCGACTGCTGTTTTGACATATAGTCAGCTCTTGGATGAATTAGAATTGCATTAATCATAAAATTTTTATAATCTCAGACCACATAAAAATTTATATAGAAGAACTGATTTAGTAACTAGACTCTTTAAATAGGAGCTAAAGTACTCCCTAGGTAATGGCAACTCTTTTTTTTAGGACCTTGGCAGGTTATGCTTAAACAGTCTGATGGCTCCTATGCTTGCATTGCAGAAAGTGCTACACGGTTTACACTTGGGGAGGTAATAACACTTAGGCTTCGTTTGGGACGGCTTTCTTACGGCTTCTTAAAGTTACTTTTTAGTATAAAAATTAAATTTTTTGTATTAAAAAACCGCTTTAAGAATCAATAAAAAAGTCGCCACAAACGAAGCATTAGTTATTCTATAAAAAAGCAATAATGATTTATTTATGAATCTTATGATTGACCTGGCAATCAACAATGGCAGACAAAAGAAGAACTTTTAATGGTCCTCGGTTTGAAAGAGGAGAAAGGAAGCTCATTGGAATTTCTTAGAAGGGGATACAAGGTTTGGTGCCCCACTTCTTCCTAGCTATTTATAATGTTCTAAGTATTCGTAGAAAGATAGATGAATAACGCAAGGAAGCCTTCTGCTCATATCCTTATAATGACTTTCTATTAATCTGTGCTTTGCATAACGTCGCGTTGCAGAACGCTACTTGGTGGGAGGAGGATGTGGAGTTGGAGCTATCCTCTAATTGGCGGAGTTAATCAACGATGGCAATTGATCAGTATGTTGGCATGTAAATTACTTCTTTCCTCATTGACTGATCTGAATACACGCAAAAATTTAATTTGTGTAGTTTCATTTCTTTAGAATTTTTTAATATAAATTAATTATAAAAGATAAAGTATATTTAAGTTAATTGAATAGTTCAACGAGCTTACGATCCGAGCTGATTTAATATAGGAGTGGAGTGAGCTTGAGTATAAGCTTGAACTTGAATTCGTGACTTGATAAGCTCAAACCGCGAGCTCGACACTGCTAATTCCTTCTCTCATTGAACGCTTTTTAGGGCTCATCAAATGCAACAAGTTGTTCTTACTGGCCTTGAACAACATCCCCTTCTTTCCAGATATCCTCTGATACTCATCCCGCTTTGTGCTTTGTTCCAATTGGGCTTCGTAGACATCTCCTGTTTTAGGAAGCCCTCAGTAGAACTCTTCTCTCGCTGCGAGTTGTACTGATCAATCCACGAGCTTTCTTTCTCAGCCCTCCTAGCAAGTTTTTTTGGTCGATTTGTGTGCTTTGCACCTGAAATTTTATAGATATAATATATAAATGTATGATGCACCATTCATTGTTGATAAGGAGTTTATTTATGTCAGATTTTGTTTGGGGTGAAATAATTTTGTGCAGATACGGATACCATCCAGAGGCGAATTAGCGAATCATAACATGTCACGTCATCTCTTTGTTGTGTATTGCGGCTATGTACCCGTTGTGTACTGGGTGATGGTGTGCATTGTGATTCCCCTCCGGACGGTGTAGTGTTCACACAAAATAATCTCTTCTTTGAGACCATTTTTTACAATTATTTTTTCACTATTAAAAAAAAATTGTACTAAAAAATTACGTTAGAAAATAGTTAGAGAATTGTCCCAAACAAAATCTAAAT